GTGACACCCTGGAGTCAATGTTGGGCGCATAGGTGGTTGGCATGGCACCAGTGCTGGCCAGGTCAGTTGATGACTTCAATGAGCATGGAGAACCATGGAAGGTTGTCGCTGTCATTGGTAAACAATGTTCGGAGGTGATGGCTGCCAATAACCGATGGTTCCTTCTAAGAAAAATATAGGAGGGTGGGAAGAAGATACTGGATTTGGGGTGGTGAGGGGAGGGGGGGTTGAGCACTACAGCCTTAATTCTTCTTGCAACTGTATATGTAAATTCCACGTTCCACCACCCCCTTGATATTATCTAAATTGAGTACATTAAAACTAAAGTTATTGATATATCATAATTTGATGTCTTTCCCCTCATATAATGCTGCTGTGACTGAGCCTTGATCACAGAGTGTGTTTTGGGGTGTGTATTAGCATGACTTGGCCACTCTGAAACCTGATATTTAGGTAGAGGTATTGAAAGAACAATTTTGGTGACATAAAGTGTTACAAAAGCTATTCAAGAGGAAAAGAAATCATTGTCCATCTTTTTTTCAATCATTTGTGTAACTTTATTGAAGCCTGGGTAGAGGGGGGATTTAATCCAGGATCCAAGAGCCATTTCTGCTTTGAATGTTTGAGAGTTGATATTGTGCTGGGTAAAATTGATCTGATGGTGACCAGTGGAGAATGCTCGCTCTGCATCCACAGAAGTAGCTGCAACAATTGTTGAAAATAAAGGAAAATAAGTGTGAATAATGGTGCTTACCTGGGGCTGAGCAGAAATCAGAACCCATTCGTGAGAGTTGTGGTCAGGACTGTGATGCATTGTGCCAATACTTTACCATCCCCCATGCAATCCACATGGACTCCACTGGATTCCACCTGCCTTCACTCACTTCAGGCAACCACCTAAAGGTACCCTCTTAGGGTAGTTAGTCCATGCCAATAAGACTACCCTGTGAGGGACCAATACCATGGTATAACCCACCTATTTATTGGATTCCCTTGGGGGTACCCAGGTATTCCCTTGGGATTCCTCTGGTATCCTTCTGGACTTCCATAATTTGCCTCTCCTGTCTTGGGAATCCAAGAGATGTGGGAGTCCCTTAGGAGTTGTTCCATGGGATTCCTTTAACTGAGGGACTCCCATCTAATTTTTTTCTGGTATACAGGGACTCCCAAGGATCCAAGTACCCAAGTTGATTTTTGTTTCAATGTCCATCTTATTAGCATGGGAAGAGGACTTGTTTAAATGAACTGGTATCTTTTATGTACATGCTTGAAAGTAGTCAGCAAAGCAGAAGTTCAACTGTTCATGATTTTAATTAATTTTACATTGCTTTGACAGCAGCTATCATTGGCAGGCGATGGAGGGAACTACAAGCCTCCACCTGCATTTGCAATGTTGGTTGGTGCTGATACTAACATACTACAGGTACACTAACTGGGAAAAAAGAATGTCTGGTCATTTTCCGGACAAAGTTGGTGCTGTAACACAAGAACCAAACATTTTCAGAACTAAGCTCTGGTGTATGAGACATAGCTAAAGAGGTGTAGATTGTACATACCAAGTCTGGGGATGAATGAATGAAAACTCAGGATAAGGCAGAGCATTCACTGTGACAACTTCCAAAAATGGGATTTGACAAAATAGGAAATTCTGAATGACTGCAACCTACTGGAAGCAATTCACAACTTGAGGAAGAGATATTTTGAACACTGGATCTCCCTGCTATTGTTATGAGCTTCATAAAGTCTTTGGGCTAGAAATTTTATATCCTCCCCTAAAAGGTAAATTTGAACTTGTTCTCCACTTTATGTATTTTTCACTCAATATATTTGTTGGAATGAGGAAAAATGACTCCCTATTAATGTTTGTAGTGTGTATAATACAAAAGGTAGGTAGAAATGTTAAAATGACCATTGCATGATGTCTGTAGAAGTTAATTTCCTGAGTTTTTCTGAAAGTAAACAAGTATCTACAACATTGGTCCTTCTTTTCTGCAAGAAGAAAAAATGCTACCACCCTTTTGAGTTAATCCATGGAGACTCAGGATGTCCTTTAAACAACACCTGAAGTATAATATGATAGCAAATAAATTTACACTGGGTATAACTTGAATAGTCCCCAAGAAAAGTACATTTTGCATAGAGCAATCGTCCTGGACCAATCCTTGACATTTTTCTTGGTGAATTGGGGCTGAAAATATTTCACAAGGCACTTCTCATACCTAGGAACACTATCCCAAGGAAATAAACAGAGGTCCTATTCATACAAGGATCTGAGACCCCCAGACCTTTCTAGGCCTGATTTGGAAATCTCTCTGTCATGCTTCAGTGAGCTTTGTGGGCCATTTGAGAAGCATCTGTGCCCAAAACTCAAGAGATAGGTAGAAGCACTTGGCATGGACATTTCACAACACCCATATTAACTGTAACCCCTTGGAAGCAAGGTTTCTGGGAACCATATTGACTATATGTCTCTTAATTTTCAGAGTTTCTTGTAGTTTTATTAGCCATTAAATGCTTTATTCCTGGTAATGTGGTCAAATCAGATCATGGAACAGTAATAGTTATGTATATGTACAATACTATGACAATAGATACCTTCTCCTATCAATCCTGGGCAATATTTGCAACTGCAAATGTCCAAGGAGGGGAATCAATTCAAATTCACTTTTTTGGGGAGACTATAGAATTTTATATCTCAGAGACTTTATGGGGCTTATGACAATAGCAGGGAGATTGAGTGTTTAAAATATTTCTGCTTCAAATTGTGAATTGCTTCCAGTAGGTTGCAGTCATTCAGAATTTCCCATTTTGTCAAATCCCATTTTTGGAAGTTGTCACAGTGAATGCTCTGCCTTATCCTGAGTTTTCATTCATTCATCCCCAGACTTGGTATGTACAATCTACACCTCCTTAGCTATGTCTCATACACCAGAGCTTAGTTCTGAAAATGTTTGGTTCTTGTGTTACAGCACCAACTTTGTCCAAAAAATGACCAGACATTCTTTTTTCCCAGTTAGTGTACTTATAGCTTTCACAAACAAATACAAAATTGCCAAGGTGATTGTCGTTCACGGAAATCAACCATAACATACTACATACAGTGCATAGAACTCAGTAAAACATAGCAATCATAAATCATACTTGAAAACATAAGGTAGTAAATGAGATAACAAAGTAGACTACTATGAAATATCCCAATAGGAAATGAAACAACTGTAAAACATAGCAATCATAAATCATACTTGAAAACATAAGGTAGCAAATGAGATAACAAAGTAGACTACTACGAAATATCCCGATAGAGCATGAAACGACCAAGTCAAACTAATGCCTTCCATCTGGAGGATAACCCCTGGACAAATCCTTCGAAGAGCCTGGCCTGCCATTGTTTGGAGAGGTCGGGTGACCACCAGATGGGATTTGCCGTGCTGGCAAGGGAGCAACCTTGCAGATAGCACTGTCATCAAGCTGTGATATCTTATGCTTCTTCGGAGGTGGCTCAGGATAAGAAGTACCCATGACAGGATGTCCCACATCCTCTTCGTTGTAAGACCGCTTTGCGAGATTGCAAGGGTCTTCTAAGGCATGGTGACTGCGTGCTGGGCCTGCATTGTAGTGATCGGGAAGACAGTGGCCATCCCCATTGTGACTGGTATGCTGGCGGTCTAATGGAGGTGGATTAGATGCCTCACGGGCGCCACCGCGATGATCATCATCAATTTCGTGGTAGCGACTCTGATTGTGCCCAGGGGTGAAATCACATGTATGTCGATATTCATCATCTTCTACGCCAGTGTAAAAGTTTCGATTATGGCCACGACGATCATGGTTCGCTGGATCTGGTTGATAAGGCTTCTTTGTCTGAGGTAGAATTGTGGGATCCCACCATTGGTGAGTTTGCTCATGATCATAAGGATTTGTTGTAGATTGAGGGTGAGGGGAGCGGGCTCAGGAATTTATGGGAGCTCGTTGGTAGTCCTGACCACGATCACTGTAATCTGCTAAAGATTGTAGGCAAGGAGAGTGTGGACCAGAGTTGATTGATGCTCGTGGGTAGTCCAGACCATGATTGCCAGGATCCGCTAAAGACCATAAGTGAGGAGAGCGAAGACTGGAGTCAGTGGCTGCTTGTTGTTGATAACCAATACGATTGTGAGAGTCCACTGAAGTTCGGGAGTGTGGAGCGGGATTGCTGGGCATGCGTTGTTGGTAACCATGTTGATTATGAGGGTTCATTGAAGATCGGGACTGAGGGGAGCAGTTGCTGGGCACATGTTGCTGGTAATCTTGTGAGTGAGGCAAGGTTGGGTGAGGATTATGAGCTGGACGGTGATAAGGGGGGTTGGTGGTGAGTCCTGCAAAATCTTCCTTGTCGTCGCTCCCTGCTCTGACTGATTGGTGAGGCTTCTGGCCAGTGGCTTCAGCTGACTTGGCCCAGACTTTCGAATTGTAAACAGTCAATAAGACCTTCCCCGTTATGTCACCAGTGGGAACCATTATTTATCATTAAACATGGACATAGGTCCATGGCCTTTCATATGAACTGTCACAAAGTTTATGAGAGGCATTTCATTAGGATGTCCTATCAATTTCATTCATGTAATTGTCTGAGCTTTTCATAAACTTTGGGGAGGTTTTGAGATATATTTCATAAGTCTTCATACTGATTTCATTACTGATTTCATATGCCTTCCCTGGTGATTTCATTGTGCTTTCATTGGAATGTCCAGAGTATTTCATTGCACTTTCATTGAATATTTCATTAGAATGTCCAGGGTATTTCATTGTGCTTTCATTAGAATATGCAGGGTATTTCATTGCACTTTCATTGAATATTTCATTAGAATGTCTAGGGTATTTCATTGTGCTTTCATTGAATATTTCATTGCACTTTCATTGAATATTTCATTAGAATGTCTGGGGTATTTCATTGCGCTTTCATTAGAATTTTCAGGACATTTCATTGTGCTTTCATTGAATATTTCATTACAATGTCTAGGGTATTTCATTGCACTTTCATTACAATTTCTAGGATATTTCATTGCGCTTTCATTGAATATTTCATTGTTGACACATGTCAGGGTCCATCTAATGGGCTCTTGGGAGGGTGGTCACATGACCAACTTCCTAAAATGGTCAGTAAAAGAAAGTTGTAGCCCTGCAATGTAGCTTTCTGAATCCATTTGAATCATGTTCAAAAGTATTCCTGTTGTGGAGATATGAGGTGCATGATTTTCAAAAGCACCACTTTTCTTCTTCTTTTGCATTTTTCTCCATGAAAACAACACCAAACAACGTGATTTCAACACCTTTAGAAAGCTAAGAGAAGGGGCTACAAATATTGTATTGTGGGAAAATTCACCCAAAAAGGTAGGTGCATACCCTAAAAGGGAAATTGACACTGAGAGACTACAAAAGATTACTGATAGACTACAAAAATCAGATATAGATTATAAAGTTTACTAATAGACTACAAAACACTACAAAAGTTGGACATAGACTACAAAGTTTACTGATAGACTACAAAACACTACAAAAGTCAGACATAGCCTACAAAGTTTACTAACAGACTACAAAGCTCAGACATAGGCTACAAAAGTTGGACATAGACTACAAAAATTTACTGATACTCTTGACTAAAGTTATTGGCATATAATTATCTAGGCCATCCACTAGAAGAGTTTGTAGTGTCTGCTTTTTCTATTACAAAAGTTTGTAGTGTCCGCTTTTTTCATTACAAAAGTTTGTAGTGTCTCCTTTTTGAAACTACAAAAGTTAACAGTGTCCTCTTTTGATATTTCAAAAGTATGTAGTCCACTTTTCTGACATTTAGTTTGAAGTGTCCTTGACTATGTACACTGACTGATCAAAAGTAATGTCACATGATTTTTTGGACAAAGTTGGTGCTATAACACAAGAACCAGACATTTTAAGAACTAAACTCTGGTGCATGAAACATAGCTAAAGAGGTGTAGATTGTATATACCAAGTCTGGGCATGAACAAATCAAAACTCAGGATAAGGCAGGGCATTGACTGTGACAACTCCCAAAAATGGGATGTGACAAAGTGGGAAATTCTGAATGACTGCAACCTACTGGAAGCAATTCACAACTTGAGGAAGAGATATTTTGAACACTGGATCTCCCTACTATTGTTATGAGCTTCATAAAGTCTTTGGGCTAGAAAATTTATATCCTCCCCTAAAAGGTAAATTCGAACTTGTTGTCAATTTATGTATTTTTCACTTAATATATTTGTTGGAATGAGGTAAAATGACTCCCTATCAATGTTTGTAGTGTGCATAATACAAAAGGTAGGTAGAAATATTTAAATGAACATTGCATAATGTCTGTAGAAGCTAATTTCCAGAGTTTTTCTGGAAGTAAACAAGTATCTACAGCATTGGTCCTTCTTTCCTGCAAAAAGAAAAAATGCTACCATCCTTTTGAGTTAATCCATGGAGACTTAGGATGTCTTTCAAACAATGCCTGAAGTATAGCATAATAGAAAATAGATTGTCACTGGGTATAACTTGAAAAGTCCCCAATAAAAATACATTTTGCATACAGCAAGAAAGGTGTGGGGGTTTCACATCCTTGTCTAATAGGACCTCTGTTTATTTCTTTAGGATGGTGTTAGTAGGTATGAGAAGTGCCTTGTGAAATATTTTCAGCCCCAACTCACCAAGAAAAATGTCAAGGATTGGTCTAGGATGATTGCTCTATATATTTGTAGCCCCTTCTCTTAGCTTTCTAAAGGTGTTGAAATCACATTGTTTGGTGTTGTTTTCATGGAGAAAAATGCAAAAGAAGAAGAAAAGTGGTGCTTTTGAAAATCATGCACCTCATATCTCCACAACAGGAATACTTTTGAACATGATTCAAATGGATTCAGAAAGCTACATTGCAGGGCTACAACTTTCTTTTTCTGACCATTTTAGGAAGTTGGTCATGTGACTACCCTCCCAAGAGCCCATTAGATGGACCCTGACATGTGTCAACAATGAAATATTCAATGAAAGTGCAATGAAATATCCTGGACATTCTAATGAAAGTGCAATGAAATACCCTAGACATTGTAATGAAATATTCAATGAAAGCACAATGAAATGTCCTGAAAATTCTAATGAAAGCGCAATGAAATACCCCAGACATTCTAATGAAATATTCAATGAAAGTGCAATGAAATATTCAATGAAAGCACAATGAAATACCCTAGACATTCTAATGAAATATTCAATGAAAGTGCAATGAAATACCCTACATATTCTAATGAAAGCACAATGAAATACACTGCATATTCTAATGAAAGCACAATGAAATACCCCAGATATTCTAATGAAATATTCAATGAAAGCACAATGAAATACCCTGGACATTCTAATGAAATATTCAATGAAAGTGCAATGAAATACTCTGGACATTCCAATGAAAGCACAATGAAATCACCAGGGAAGGCATATGAAATCAGTAATGAAATCAGTATGAAGACTTATGAAATATATCTCAAAACCTCCCCAAAGTTTATGAAAAGCTCAGACAATTACATGAATGAAATTGATAGGACATCCTAATGAAATGCCTCTCATAAACTTTGTGACAGTTTGTATGAAAGGACATGAACCTATGTCCATGTTTAATGATAAAAGTGGTAGCCACCAGTTGTTATGTCTACAACAAGGGGAATGTCTTGCTGTTTAATCAGACGTTGCTTTCGTTGCTCTATCATGTAGTGTTAGATGCAAGATAATACAAAAAAAAGCACATTAGACTTATCTGAGGTCCACGACACAATTCGAACATATGGCGATTTGAGTGATGAGTCCATATCAATCTCCTCGTCATCGCTGACCTGCCTTCCCCTCTTCCACTTATACTCATCAACCCGGGACTGAACAATCCATTGGAAGAACGCCTCCCCCTTCCCCTTCCCCTTCAAGGTGAATCCTTCACAGGGGAATTCATTTACAAGACCCCATCCAATAATGGTGACCTCATTCTTGAACGCGAAGTCAGTCCAAGACCAATTCATGGTAACCTTCTTCATGTTGCCACCTTCTTCGTTGCGGGCAGTTAAGATTTCGACTAATGTACCAATGTTAAAGATGCCTCTATGACAAAGAAACAACTTACTCAGATCGCTTCGCAAAAATTCACCAAGAACTCGCATGAGGCAATCCCACTTATTTTCAGTGGACTTTGGCTCAACGTGAACCAACAGACTGTTTGAGGAACCTGCCATTCGCTGGTCCATCTCTGCCAACTTGAACATCCCCTCGTAATCTCTCAGCTGGGTCTTGACAGATGACTTGTAACGTGCACGAAGCTTTTCGTATTCGCGGCTACTGCCCCAAGCCAAGCTTGAAGTTGAATTGGCATTGACGACAATTGCAAATCCAAAGACTTGAATCCCTGTCTCCTTGTAAGCTCTGGTGGCCTAAAACACGTGTTAGTATGAGAGAGATAGGATGTTAAGAGAGCGATAACATACTAATTTGATAAATGGCTCAACAACTTTCTTTATAACCTGTGGGAACTTTCCGTTGTCTCGCTTGGATTCCAAAAATGCCACAACAACATTGCGATAATAATCAAGTTGTTCCTTGAAATGCTCATGAATATCTTGCTGCGAAGGTTTCTCTCCCAGAGAGTCGAGCTCCTGTTTATAAAGTCTTGCAACAAACTTAGCCCACGCTTGCGCAGAAACTGTATTTACATCAGCTTCTGGTGCGGTGGGGACATTGGAGATACACACTATCTTTTGTTTTCTTGACATTACCAAAGTGGGTGTACCAGTGCTGGAAGGCTGACCAAGGGTTGAGATGATGACTTGTCTTGACTTCTTGAGCGACGAGTTGAAGGAGAAGCTTCAGAGGCTTGTCATATTCAGAAGCCAAGGCTTCCAGCTTGTTGAGATACTCTTGATGTGCTGCGAAGGCAGCCTCTTTTGCAGCCTTTGGGAGGGGACCTGATTTGTGGCGATGGGTTTCCAATTCGTCGTCAGCCTCAACCTCATCGTCCTTGTCGTGATTATTGGTGGCATTGGCAGATGAACGTGATCACATTGACTTCTTTTTTGTGGGTTTGGGTATGGGTTTGCGGCAAAGGGTGTCCAGTTCATCGTCAGCATCAGCTTCAGCGCCATCAGCGTCGGTGTCGGTGTCGGCATCAGCGTCGGCGTCATTGTCAGCATCATCATCCTCGTCATGATTATTGGTAGCATCGGCAGATGAACGTGATCAAGTTAAGTTCTGTTTTGAGGGTTTGTGTATGGATTCAGTGTTGGAATGACATTGGCGTTCATCATTTGAATCAAACAATGCCTTTTTGAGAAGGCAAGCGACGTTGGCAGCATCCTTTGATTTCTTGCTCACAGGCTTCTCTAATGACTCGTTAGCTAGATTCTCCCCATCAGAACCGCCATCATCCTCAACACCAGAAGAATCATTGTTGCTGACATGATCGGCACGGCCCTTGGACTTCTGCTGAGCTGTAAAACGAGGAGGAGATGGTGCCACAGCAGCTTTAGAGTTCATATCATCCACACGTCTTAGAAAAGCGATATGCTCCTGACATTTCATATGGGCAGCTGCGACAGTTTCCCCGTAATCGGATCCACTGTGTCTTCCTCATCCAAGCTAGGATTTTGCTTATCCAACAAATGGGCTTGAGTCGTGGGGCAAGAAAGGGCTGGAGTTGTAGTGGAAGGGAATTCAAAAGATGTGACAGTTGTGTTTCGAGCAGGATGATCTTCTGTGTCAGGATCATACTGACCATCCTCCATGTCAATGTCAGCCTTTTTGTTACTGGCTTTTGAAATGCGTGAAGTGAATCCCTTGAAGACGACACCATCAGGGTCTGGGCTGCTGTCACGAATAGTGAATTGCAGTTGGCGATAACCTCTGCGGGATGAAAGGAATTGATCGTCTTTGTTGTCGTCATTCTGTGAATCATGCCCATTACGAATCTGCCATCTTATGGGTCTCGGTTTTTGAGGCGGCTGTATGTCGCGGGTTGTAGCAGTAACATTACCATCATTCTAAGTTTTTACAATCAGAAGGGCATTGGGTTGGTAGACAATATCTTACCTCTTCATTTCTAAGTCCTCGAGCATTGACAGAGAGAGTGGCAACAAATTGTTCACTAGTATCAACAGCCGCAGTCTGGAATGTGGTTGAATAGAGGCATCAAAGTGGCAGAAAGTTTCGTACATCTGGAATGTCTGCAGACAAACTCGTAGAAGGGATGTGATTGTCGATGTTCAATGCCACTTCCTGTTCCCCAGCTCTGTCACGTTCTTCGTTTCTCTTTCTTCGAGGACAGGTGTTTCCATGGCTGTCTACATTCTATAAGTAAGTGGAGGGCATTGAGTGAGACAACAATCTAAGTACCTTGGCAACAATATCGACCTCTTCAGGTTCTTTCAATTTGACATCCATAGAGTTCTAGAATTTTACACGTCAGAAAAAGCATTTGGATAGGTGTGATTCATTCCTACCTTGGAATCAGCTTCGATGGTTTTGTGTTTACGGGCTTGCAGTTTCACAGCATTCTACATCTTGTGCATTGGTAAAAGCATTGGCAGACGATAAGAATGCAAACCTTCATTACACGAGTCCTCGTGCCAGGTTTGGCGTGAGTTTCAGGAAGCGGAATGTCAGGAAGGGTAGCCTTCCGGGAACGCATTACACAGTTTGGATAAGTTTGGTTGTTCTGGGGCATATGTATAAACAGCTTAAGGTGGTATGGGTGAAAAGGGGGGGAATCAGCTCAACCAATGCAGAGTATAAATGTGTCACATACCTGTAGCATTGTCTTGATGTGTGGGCCACCTCCACAGGCGAATAACAAAAAACAATAGATTGACAAAAGTAGTAATATATATCGTCCAAAACTGTTCAAAATGTGGCCACAATGTAAAATCATTAGATAATTCGACAAGGAACAATGGCTGCACGACCAAAAAAGTTGAAGAAGGACTGGGTGTAGAAACGAGCCACTTCACGCTCCAATTCTTCAATTTCACAGACTGAATAACAGTCGGTCTTTGATTCTATTTGCAGCAAGCCCTATATTTCCTTTTGACAGCTCGACTGCCAAAGTTGACTGTTCTGGGAAACACGCAACCAGGGCATTGTGGGGGTCATGAATTTCGAAATTCGCCGATTTCGCATGTGAGTGCAAAGCTGATAGTTTGTATTGAAAGTTCAAGCTGAAGAGCTCGTAGAGGATTTCCTGGATGATGTGACATGGAATGGAGGCACCGACATCGCATTCTCCCCAGTGCAGAGGAGTGAGCCTGTCATTGGGCACCAGCTCAACCCCAACTTCATGTAAGCAATCACCAAGTATCTCTTTTAATGTTTCTGCACGCTGAAACACTTTCATTGGTTTAGAGGGATTGGAGGATTTGGAGCCAGAGGGCTGCCTTTCCTCAGACGAATTCAAAAGATCGTGCCAGGCTTGATTGGACAGTGGCTGGGCTGATGACAATGGTGCACTAAGTCGATAAATGAAGGTGGTTCTGAGGCACAGCCATTGATGAAGGTATTGATTTGTTTTCTCTTCGGTCATGCAGCTAATGAATAGGCCAGGATCAGGGAACATATACCCACTATGGACTGGATCAATCTGTTCAGTGACGCGATTGCTTGGGTTGGTGTCAACAGCAGCAAGGGCATCCCTCCATTCAGGGATTGCTGGTGGAAGCAATGGGCTGGACATCTCTTGGAACTTATTTCGGCTGGTCCCTTTCACTGAACCACCTTTCGCTGAACAACGGTCTGCAACAGAGAGGTTTGTCCATAGTAACAATGTTATCATACACAAGATACTCACAAGGAATGCCAGCCTTCTCAGAATGGCTCGATACTTGTGTCCGCCGACTTTCCTCGCCACATAATGGTCGGACTGTTGCCTGTTGACTTCCCTGTGCAGATGCTTGTGTTCCAGACACGTTTCCCTGTGGCTCTTTTGTTCCTGACATGTTTTCCCTCAGGGTGACGATGTAGAGGGTGAATGGGTTGTAATAGGAGAAGAATTGCCGTGAGTGAAGCACAATTGCCCTGCATTTTTTTGGATCGTTGGCTGAACCGCAGAAAACAGTATCGAACTTTGTTTCGGCATCACAAAGTTCAAGAAATTCATTTGGCTTTCTGGTTTCGATGAATGAATCAACATGAACACCGGGCAAGGTATGAGTGGGGCGCAGGAACCAGACTGGGAGCCCAGCCCTCGTAAATTCTTGCACAATGGTCGAATCCATGGTGAATACACCAATGGTCCGTGCAGTTTCGGTAGTGGGTGGGAGAATCCCGTCCATTCAGGGTTTGTAGATATAGAGATAGTTGAGTCCAGCTGTTAATTCTAAATAAGCTTGTTGGACTTCAGCCACACAGAATTTGACTTGTGTAACATCCATTGGTAGTTGTTCCAGACGAGAGAGACCCTGGCTTAGCCAGTTCGAAAGTGTGATGATTTCCGAATTCTTCGTTGGATGAGAATTGTCTGATTTGTATTTCTCAACATGGTCCTGAAGCCCCCCCACTAATTGTTGAAATTGGAGCAAACGGGCATGAGGAATTTTTCCAATGCCAAGGATCAGGTCAGAAGAATTGACCAAGAGGTCCGTCTGGTTGGGATTCCACCACAAGATATCCATTGGGCCATCATGTTCTAGCTGGTGCGGGATTGCGCCATAATGGCAGGCTGAGCTGATGTACGGCTGTGGCCAGAGAAGTGGGTCGTCATCTGTGTAACGGAAGTCGCATCAAAGGAACATCGCTCGATTTCCGCCCAGTGGCAGTTGATATATGACATCCATATTTGGGCTGGTGACGAAGAAAAACCCCCCTTGGAGAACAGCTCCCACCCGTCCATTGCACCACTGTATAGCTGGGTTACATTTAGTATATTGTACCAGAAGATGAGAGTGGATACCTACGTTCATGTGGTTTTCCTCGATTACGAAGGAGAAGAAGTGGGTCCTTATCCAGTACTTCAGCTGTTATGGAACAATTTTGCATGCTTTCTACAAATACTTAGGTGGGATACACAGGGAATCTAATTGTCTACATACATTATATCAGTTGATCGCTGCAGAATCTATATGTGTAGTTAGAGTTAGTTCAATGTTATCGGTTGTTCGGTTGTTTGATATCTATGTACATGGTAAAACTCTCGAATTGCAATTGGCACGGTTGAATGTCTTCAGTTTCACAAAGTCAGAGCTCTGTAACATGATTAGTTAGGTTCAAGCTCAGGCAATATTCACATACACGCACCTTAAGATGCGTAGAATGTTCTTTGCAGGTCTGTTACGATGATGCGAAGATAATCTGGACGACGCAAAGTCAAATCCAGTCATGAGCGACGCAAAGTCAATGTCATGCACAAGTTTTGAGAGAACGACTGACGCAAAGTCAAGGTCGTCAACTGAACAAAACGACGCAAGGTTAAACTTCGCAGAATTTGGATAGAGAGGTGTACATACACCGTTCAAGAATGTGTACGCTGCAAATACCACAAATGAGTTCACCACCTTAAATATCAAAATGTGTCGCAAACCTTTCAATCCCAATGGGTAGATTGCACGAGATACTAGGAGTTCTTGAGGTCTGTAAAAACCGTATTGTAAATCCAACGATAGCCCCAAGGAATGACTGTATATTCACATATTAACCTGGACGTGGTCACCTTCTGATCGACAGTAAAAGATGGCCCAGACGACGCAAAGTCAAATCTGGATGTGACGGACGCAAAGTCAACATCACAAATGAAAATGGAATGACCGACGCAAAGTTGAAGTCGTTTAATGGGACAAAACGATGCAAAGTCGAATTTTGTGTGGGGTGGGGAGAGGAAAGACGTACTGGCGGATTGACTGCCAATGAGGTTAGCTAAAAGGGTGGTAGTAGTAGAGTTCAACACTTACTGAGTATATACTGGGCGGACTGTGGGCATACATAGGGGAGACAGACGTAGGGGAGACAGACGAGGGGAAACAGACATAGGTGGGTGCAAGACATATCGATGATGACTCAGATGAGTGGTGTGAGAACTTTGTTTATCAATGCTCTCAACAACAATCAAGGACCACTCGCCATCATTCAACAACCCATTCCTCAAGCCTCAACGTTCAACATAACCTGTTCTCTGTTCTTACCCTCTTACCCTCCTCACCTTCCACCTTCATCCCTCTTCATCCCCACTTACATCGTCCTTACCTTCTCCCAGACACTCACTTCTCGTATCAACGTATGTTTTTTGACACCTGTTCTCTTGCAAATTAACGGCCCCCCTGTAGATTAAAGTAACCTCTCATGTTTCTGCTTTCCTAGCCAGCTGCAATGAGCTGATTGTATTGATCACTTGAACGGTATGTACAAAGTCTTCAACCACAAGTTTTTTTGCAAATTAATGGCCCACTTCTAGTTCAAAGGTATCTCTCTCATGTTCTGCGAAGTTGACTATGTGTCATTCACCTTGCGACTTTGACTTCGCATCGGTTGTATTGACTTGTCTTGACTTTGACTTCATGTCGGTCATTGTCGGTTCGACTATGCGTCGCCTGTCTCACTGCCTCCTAGATTAGAATGCAACCTGTATTATCTACACAATTTCTATCAGATGTCCATTCTGGGTGGACAATGGAGTGATTGTACATAGCTGGCCACCCCATCTGCGGCCCATCTGTCAAGTCAAGCCACTCCCCTTTTGACTTTTCATACGACCCCCTCCCTCCACTTGCACGCGCGTGTTCTGCCCTCCTTCCATATTTCTACAATATGCGACCTTGCATTCCAAAAAATTTCACTCCATCCTGAGCCCATTATATTACACCCCGATAAGTGGCAGAGCTGTCCACTACCTCTCCAGGCTGAGTGGAATTCATCCACTGGTCCTCCTACCAGATGAGAGAAGGTTTAGCCAGCAGAGAAATCTTAAGCCATTGCCAGGACAGGTCGGCTTTGCTGGTGATCGACCCCTCAATAGCTGTTCATCACTCTCTGCGGACGGCTTGCAAACTGCTGATGTCACCGGCGATCTCGATGATCCAAGTGGCATTATGTTCTTTTCATCTCCTTCCACCAACATTGCTTCTCCTGTTTCTAATCACCGACGAAAATGTGAAAATCAAACCAATTGTTGGAAATTTGAAGTGATCCCTTGCCTCATTATGCTGTACATGCGGCTCGTTTCTCAGACAGAATCATTTCGCCTGCCGATCCCTGAGGATGCTTTCGCCACCACCCTCGCCTGTCAATGTATCACAAGAGCATTAGAGGTTATCGTAGTTCATTTCTGTGGTATGCGTCTTTCCTGTTAGGCTTTGAGATACTAACAAGTGCGTTCCAGTTCTTGAAAGGTTGAAACTTCAATTTTGCAAATGTCGACCGGCTGCGGTCCAGCTGCTCCAACGCAGATTATTTCCTTCGGCACTGTTTGCCCCTTCCCTGGCTGTTGATATTCGAGTTTTAGAGTTTGTCTTGTGTCTTTTTCTTCATATTTCCCCCAATGCCACTGCATGGTGCAACACGGTTGAAGAATTTCTTCAAAGCCAAGGTTATAAATAGTGTTTAAAGGTTCAGTCCATAGGACCGCAAAAAACCGGTGGACCGAACTGAACCGGACCATGGTCCGGTCTTTTTTTCGGTTGCAGTTGCCCCAATTTGGGGTTGGTCCGGTTGCCGGTTGCCTCATTTCGAAAATATATTAAAACCGTTCAAAGACCGGTTTTGATCGGTTGCAACCGGTTAAACGGTCACGTGCGTTACATACCCTTGTAACCACGTTTATTACCTTTTATTGGGTTTTTGTTTCATCAAAAATGGTTAAGAATTGAGAAAGATATAACCAAATCCATATTTTACCCGAGTCTCTACGAGATGTAATTCGGTTGCAGTCATAGCTATGTCAAATCTTCATTAAATCTCTTCAAAATTGGTAGAATGACGGGTATTTACATGCTTTACTATTTCATATAACCTGTTTATTTTTCAGAGTAATAATAGTCAAGATACAAATGGTTTATATTGGTATAATAAATTATACGCAAAAAAACCGGTCTGGATCGGTCTGAACCGGCTCCATAGACCGAAATAGACCGGTCCTAGGTGGTTCGGTTCGGTTCCCTCAATATCTGGGTCGGTCCTAGACCGGTTGCGGTCCACGGTTGCGCGTTTTGGGGGCAAAAAACCGGACTGAACTGAACTTGCGAACACTAGTTATAAACTTACTACAAAGGTATTTTCTTACTTAAATGGCAGGTGAATTTTGGTCTGACTTCAAGTTCAGGACTCCCTTCGATGCCGATTTAGTGAAGCCTTGAGATGGTACAATGGACTTCAAGACACTACTAACAAACACATTGACAATGTTCTTTATCATTTCTGGACCATCATTACCAGTTATAATGATGGGGTTTGCACAAAAACCATTGATTCTCCCAATGATGAAGAATCGACTTCTCGTGCCACACAATTAACTGCTCCTGATAACGAGTCGACTCCTCAGACCACACATTTGCCTGGTGCCGATGCCGTTGCTGATGATCCAGTACCAGAGCCCCTTCCGACTAGTACCTGACCACCCCCAGTGAGCACGGTTGAAATTGAGGATGAAGATGTGTTGACGAATGCTGGACTTTCTCAGCCCTCAACGCCTCTTAACAGCTCAACAGCTCCTCCTTTCACCCCCATTTCCTGGAAGCGACGTCATTCAGAAGATGCTGATGACTTGAAAGCTCCGTTTCCAATGCCAATCCCACGCGACTGCCCCAGTGATTATCTTTGTTCTCGGTGCCCTCTATGCTTTGGGGGAGACCCAATTCAGAGGCTTGGAGGTGATGTGTAGGTCATGTTGCATCATATATTTGTCACTTTTTTGACTGATTCAATTACCAGCCCCGATATTGTCATGTGTCTCGATGCATGCTTCAAGCAAAAAGAAAATGAAGGGCAGTCTGACCCACCTCATGAGCACCCTCAAAGTGTCTTCTTATCTGAGGCCACTGCATCAAAGATGGAAGGATATGTTGAGGGCATTCGTCTGAACAAGGCCAAGAAGGGTGTGAAGCGCCAAAAGCCTGTTGATACTAGTAGGAACCACCCTGATTCAGATGAAGAAGATGGCTATGATGGTGCACTGAAGGTTCCACGATCCGTCTTAGCCGGCTGTGAGAAGAGCTTCACAGCCGCAAATGAAACACGTGAAAAGGCCAGCACACAGTTTTTTGCCGTCACCGCACTGATGGCTCTTCTCTGCCGCTGAGAAGACCGTGGCACGCGGGAGTGAGAATAGTGTAATCGGACGCGCTGACAAGATGCGTGAACACCTAAACAACACACACACACAAACACCTTAAACACTTATCACCACAGGTACATGCTCGGTACTTCGAGTTCGGGTTCGTACGGTAAACAGAATTACCACACTTGTTTTGTTAGAACTTAAGTAGAAGTTCGGGAAAACGTTTTTTGTATATTTTATATCACTTGTCTAAGTCTAGTAGACCTTTTCGGAACAAAAGGTATTGTTTTACGTGCAGACACAGTGTAGAATTCGAAACTTTAGTAGTCTTCGAAGGGAAATGGCTTTTATTGGGACTGTCTCGGTGTTCTGGGATTGCGCTCTAACTGTATACAAAGAAATGACAAGGAAATTGTGCTTTGTAGACTTTTATAACTCCCTTGAGTTTTATTATGCCTCTGATGCGGTCCAAACTAGTCTTAAAGACTCCTCAAGCATGCTCACTTGGATTCCTCGGTAATAGTAGAGAGCTCTCTTACTAATTGACGAGACAACCTTACAAAAGCCTTGTGATCCCCACTTAACACACTGGTTCCGGGCACACGTTACTTATGTCTGCGAAGAAAAGTCCTTAAATTGATTACAAACTTATCCACTACCTCAGATGCTACTGGGAGTGCGACAGCTGGTCAACGCGGGGGATAATTCCTTCCGTTTCAGCCTGCGCGCGTCCTCTTTTTATACTATTCTATGTCTTCTATTTATATTTATATGTCCGTGCGTTGTCCGAGAGGTCGGACGAATTAATACTGAATTTTTAGTAAAGGTTTGAAGTGGCTCGATTGTGCGTGGCACAACTGAGCTGACTTCTTTTAAGTTTTCATAGTGTTTTCTCTATTGTGGCGACGCGACGCATCAGTATTGATGCGTACACGGGAATCGCCGTAAACGGTTTTCACGATCGGTTCAGCCGAGACGAACGGTCCGCTTAGTGATTTTCTCTCTATTATTAGATACTATGCCCGGGCCTCGGACCGCACGGCAAATCGTTCATAGTTTTTCTCTTTTGGCAGACTTCGGAATATTTCACGAAGCTTAGTTTTCTTGGGTCAATGATGCCATGATTTGTGATGTGTTGATGCGCGTGATGCGCGTGATGCGTCTCTCCACATGACTTCTTGGATCATGCTTCGTAGCACGTGACCGAATGACTTCTTGCGTCAGGTACGCGTCGAGTTTCTACGCTCGCGCGTTTATCTTTAGAATTAATATCTTTTAATCCATAATAAGGTGAGACCCTGGTTTGGTGTAAACTCCAACACCCTGTGCGGGGGTGTTTTTACTCTAGAACACTCGGTAGCATACTATTTCATGGTAGTGTAGCCTTTTATTAGACTTCGAGTATATTGAGGTGATTCGGTCACAAACCGACCGCAATTCCTACTGTCTAAGGCGTGCACATTTCTCGGATGTAAACTTTAATCGACTAGACCGGGTTGCGTCTAACGATCCTTATGATCAATGTGACTGTATTTCTACTATAGGAGGTTTTATAGGAGAAATCGCTAAAATTCGCATTTTTACGGGTGTATTGTTACACTCCGTATCATCTCCCCCTCACTATAATACTGTCCGTCCTCGGTCATCACTAGAT